CACATTCCTGGGCAGAGATATGGGCCAAAACGTCTGAAATTGGCACATTTTCAAATTTTGTGCCAAGATGGCACATTATCTTCAACTTTTTTTGGAACAACCATACCATCAAAAGATGCGCCGCGACGCCCTCTATCCATTTAGGTGGTATGTTGGGGGGGGTACCACGTCTGTGAAAAAAGTTATTCGCAAAAAACCAAAATTTTATGGCTCTTTTAACTTTTGGCACTTTTTGGCACAAAGGAAACGTGGCAATCGATTTTCGACCACAGGCCCGGATTGCCAACTCCATGGAAAGTTTTTTGGCACGTTTGGATTTCCCAACACTGAAACACAGAAAAAGTTATTCGGCCTCAAAGTCAAAAAATTTTTCAATTTTCCCACGTCGCTGTGACGTCATAGCCACGCCCAAATTTGAAACCGACCACACCCAGCGATGCCCCCTGAAAAGGACAACATTTGATGTGAGGGGCGTTGTGGTACCCCCGCTGGTTCAAAAGTTATGGCCAAAAGACGTTTTTGGCACCCCGTTTTTGACCCTATTTTTTGGTTTTTGGCACACAGTGGCGCAACCGTAAAAGGTACCAAGTCGCCGTTCCCACCCTTTTCAATCCACCATATAGCGATCACTTTGGCACCGTTTCCACATCTGTACCTCTTTTGGTCTTTCTGTGCCGAGGTCCCAAACAGGGCTCACTTTCGCTTGCCTCTGTGACGTCACGACCACACCCAACCACGCCCAAACTCAGGTCACTCGTGTAACTCGCGGAGATCTTTCGTTTGAGCCACGTGCCAGTTTTGTCCCATTTGTGGTTCAAAAGTTAGGGTCGAAAGTGTGTTTTTGGCACTTTTCGGCACCAGTGCCACTCGGTTTGTGCCAAATAACTCGGAACAGAAAGGCGGTACCCTGGTGCAAACGAAGGTTCTCAGTTACCCCATTGAATTTGGCACAGTTTGAGCCTATTCGGCCGTCTGTACCACTTGTCACCTTTTTGCCCCGTCAGTTTGAAAATCGGCGAAAAAGTGCCAAAATCGCCTCTTCTGACGTCACTGTGACGTAGGTGCCACGCCCAATCCGAGTGCCGTTTATTGCAAGAGGAGCGCCCCCACTAGCTCTACGACCTCCCGCAAACCCCGTTTCGATACCCCTTTTCGTTTTCGAGTTATTCACGAAAAACCTGTTTTGGCCGTTTTTTGCCCTATACCCTGACATGTGTTTTTTGGGGTTTACCCCGCCTTACCCCTTTACCCCAACTCTCAGATTTCGTATTCGACTAGGGGCCTTTGTCATTATTTCGTTTTTTTTTGGAATTTTTCGATTCCCACGTGCCGTTCAAAAGTTATTCGCGAAAAACACTTTTCAAAAAATCCGCACATGAATATAAAGACAGTAGCTTAATCAACACACCACTCTCCGCTGTCACCCATAATAGTCCCCTGGGGAATAGAAAGAGGGGGCAGGGGGAGTGGTGTGAACCCGCAACTGTCTTTGTGCTGTCACAAGAGAAGTGGACCCTATTATAAACCGTGTATCAGAGAGTGTTTATTAAATTCAAAAAAAAGTTCTCTCCCCCCTTCCAATTTCCCCCTCCCCCACCCCTACCCCTAATTCACCCCTCCAACAACCAATGTGTACCCCTACCCCATCCAGGAAGTAGGATCTATAAATACAGCGTTGCAATGAGAACCCTTGAAGAAGCTGCTATCTGCCAGTAAAATGGGCCTAATGTAAACAAATGGGCCTAAATGTATAGGAAAACCCTTTAGGAAATGTACCCTCTTACTCCAGATAGTAGGCAGAAGGATCGAAGTTTACTTCCGTTTGCTTCGAACCATAAAAATACCTGCTATTTGCCAAAACAATAGGCTAAAGTAAACAAAACAGTCAATGGGCCTAAATGTATAGGAAAAGCCTATAGGAAATGCACTGTATACTCTATATACTGTATAGGAACTGTATAGTGGCTATATAGGATACAGTACTGAAAAGTGCCAAAACTTCAACCGGTCATAGTGACGTCATTACTAGGTGTAACCCCAAAACCAATACCACCTATCTATTTGTCTTGATGCCCCTATCAAAAAATCTAACAATGAGATGTTGCCCCCACCTAATCTGGTTCAGACTGTTACTATATTATATAAATAAATGTTCAAAAGTCATACAAACAAAATTGTAGTGAATGACAATACTGCGGCCCCTGCCCCTGAAACAATTTTTGCAGTAAATCTTTTTTAATAATCATTAAGGAAATATGAAATATCCCACAATCATAAAATATTTATAGTTATATTATCAATGTTTGCCACATCATTGCAATGTCCAGATTGAAAGAATAAGTTCCAAGAAAATAATTACAGTTTGTCTCTTTCAGTTGAAAATCATGAACAAATTCACTTAAATTTGTATTGAAATACGTATCAGAGTATAAATGTGAACCAATTCTTTTTCTATGTATGAATATGTATCAATAAAACAATACTCAAAACTGAATTGAAATCAAATTTTCTGGCCAACTGACAATAAAAGTCATTTCCATAGATAAAATCAGCCAAAATGAAAGAATAGCCAGACCCAAGAAAATTATTTAAGTTTTTCTTTCTCAGTGGAAAATCATGAACAAATTCACTTAAATATGTATTGAAATACGTATCAGAGTATAAATGTCAACAAATCCTTATTTCTATATATTAATATGTATCAAAACATTACTCGAAATTAAACTGAAATCAAATATTCTGTCCAACTGACAATAAAAGTCATTTGCATGGATAAAATCAGTCAATGGTAGAATATGTATGTCCTTGATCAGTACAATGTTCAAAACTGCATAAAATCATGGTCCAAATGACAACTAATTCTTGAAGGCATTTAGGTAGACAGACTCAGGAACACCTAAGAATAAGAAAATATAAGTTTCATAAACACAAAGCTCTCATTGAAAATGTATATACTTAAAAAATGGCAATTAATTAACCCAAAATCTTTTATCCTTTAATAACTATAGAGAAATTATCTGCTCTATGTGTTGATATGTAGGAAATAATACTAAAGAGCCAACAGAAATCTGAAAATATTTCCAATCCATAATATATACATGTTATTATTATGGGCAAATTCTTATATATGTATTAGGAATAGAAAGATCTTAAATTTATGTTTTTGCTCAGAAAAAATTCATTGTAAATTTGTGAAATATTTCAATTACATGAAACTGAATAAAACCACCCTCCTAATTAGCCAAAAAGCTTTTATCCTTTAATAACTATAGAGGAATTCTCTACTCTATGTGTTGATAAGTAGGAAATATTACTAAAGAGAAAACTGAAATCTGAATAATTAAATAATTAAAACTGAACTGCCCCCTTGAAAGTAGAGCAAGCATGTTTAACTGATTAGCAAGCGTGAAAAGGCAATCAACAGACAGGAGGGTCAGGGGGTGACCGATCTTGAAAGCAAACAATTGCTTCTACTACTTACGAAATGTTTCAAATGTGTTAAGCAAACAAAAAGGATAAACTTACATCAATTTGTTCATCTTTCAAGTATTTCCCCCATAGATACGAAGCCGGTCAGTCGGTTGAATGAAGAGCCGATGAACTCGCAGCCAAAAAACAAACCACGCCGTCTTGTTGCGATCCGTACATAACTGGTAATGAAATGAAATCCCATCAAACAAACGGTCGGTTTAGATGTTATAAAGAACTATCTCATTGCTCTGTGTGTCAACTACAATCATTTCCTTCGTATGAATCAAGATAGGAAAGCAATTTATCTGCTGCAGTCCGAAAACCTCCTAACAACCATGTAGGTCTGCAACGGTCGCATCGAATTCCAATTGCAATTTCGAACTCCAAAAGTACCTGCTGTCTGGCAATGATATTGGTAACTGATATTGTGTTAACACGTTTATTGTTCAGTTGACTTGCGAACGGAAAAGATTACAACTATTGTTTTAACAACAAAGGAAAGCAATTGAGCACAACATTGAAAGAATCCTTTGATTCGAGCAACAATATAGCCAGCCTGGCCACACGGATCAAGGACATTGAAGCCCTTGTCCTCGAAAACATTTCAATTTTGAGGTTTAGCGATAAATTATTTTAAATTTAGAGAAAAACTTACCAACAGAACAATATTGTTTGCAGAAAAGTCCAGGAACATCTAGAGAAGAAAAAGCAGATTAATAACCTCTTTACATCTATACCAACTAGACGCACATAAAAACATACAGTGGCTTAAGATGTGACGTCATTTTGCCGAAAAGACCACACCCAACTTAAAAAATAATTAAAACCCGATGAAAAAATCCTAATAGTAAGACGTTGCCACCTTATATGGCTCAGACTTTTTCTATATTATAAGATTAAATGTTAAAGAGTCAAACAGAAAGAATTATAGTCAATCAAAATATACTGCGACCCCTGCCCCCGAAACATTTTTGTTGAAAACTTGCGATTGAAAAATGATTAAGATTCATTAAGAAAAAAATGTAATATCTTACCATCACAAGACACGACTTTACACGAATCTGTACCCCAACTGTTGTTTCTAAAGAAAGGTATAAAAAATTCATGTCAAAAATATATTGGCATATTAAAGGTAGATGTTGCCGGATGCATTGGTTGAAAAGCCCAAACACCACGTCAAGGGGCATCCGTCGTTTGAGTATTCCTTTTTTCTGGAGGTTGCGATTGCCGAATCGAAAAGTTTTTTAATCAATGTAAATTTTGGATAAATTCATCGGAAAGTAATGAAACTAATTTTTAAGTGTGCAATTCTCCAGCAGAAAAGGACGACATATTTCCATAGGCAACATCGAGAAACATGCCGAAGCGTAACTGATAGTAACATATAAAGTGCAGTCATGAATGAATACATAGTTGCCGAAATGATTGAAGAGATCAATATTGAAAACAATTCATTGTTAAGCAAGTATGAAGAAAATATCATTGGAAAAAATTGAAAACTAAGGTGAAAAATCATCCAAACGCGATGATGCGGTGCTTCTAAAACAATGACAATGGATTTCAAGATAAAATAAAGTTCATCAATGAAAAAGACAGTTGTATATAATAAATAAAGTATAAAAGCTATGAATCATTGAAACAAACCAGTCGTATTAACTTTGTATTATCATAAAAATTTTCTACTTTTAGTCATCACTTCTTCCAGATTTTTCCGAAGTTCTCCTGCTTGTTCCCCCGCACAGAGCCATGAATAGAGAGAGTGGTAAGAAGTGGTAAGCTTGTTACGCCCACTGGGTAAACAGTACTGCAAAACTGCAAAAACAATCATAACTGTAGACAAGTTTCATAGTTAGTTGTTATCTCAAAATTCATCATGCAATATCTCTTTCCAGCAGTTACGTACGTATTGGTACCTTTCGCCTGCAAAATGACACAGTCACAATTTAAGCAAATAGAATGCAGAGAAATTATAGGGCCTGACCATATCATTCTACATACAACGCCGTATCATATGTAGAACGTCGTCTTTGATTGCCCTTACCGCAGTGACAGCTGAGTGCACATCTTTCATAGTTTCTCTGTTCTTTCAGTTTTATAAAAAGATGAATAGCTTGTTGATATCAATACCATCCAATGTTTATAATTATGAACGACTTGACAGTAACTCGCCGATACTGCCAATGAAGGATGCTCTATCATTAGTTGCTCGATTTCAGGACGGCAACAAAATATAGAAAGTCATGATACATAGCTTCAGGTCTTTCAGCACAAGTTCTCCAGCCAGTTTTGCTACTTAAGGCAAGCTGACACTTCATTTCACTCTCTGTTCTAGGATTGACTATTCAAAGACCCAGCCCAGTATTGTCTCTTCTTTTATGTGTTCAGCTGAGTTCATCATCACTTTAGTCACAATATATCATGGATAATTTTCATAGTTTTTTATAAGTTCAAGTATGTTTAAAATAATCTTACAATCATTCTGTTTGATATGAAATTCTATCTCAATCCATTCAATAAATGTGAATAATTTCTAAAACTAAAAACATATTAAATTTCGTTACTTTTGTACATTTGTCATCTGAGAATAATTATATCTACAAGATACAATGAGAGCTTTGAATCAAAGTACATCAAGATCAATGCTCCTCCCATAATTAAATGAGTAAAGAGGCTAAAGGTATTACTCAATATCTATTAATTCCAATGCATATTATCTTATTTGACATATTCACGTTTTACATAGGGGTTGTGGTGTATAAATAGAAAGATGTTTCATAATTAAATGAGCTTATTAAAACCAGCGTCTTCAAAGCAACCTCTATAGTTGATACCTTTTTAAGGAGTCGCCAAAGATGTGCCATTACAAAAAGCCTAGTGTGTTGCATGTTGCTTTAGCAAAACTCATTTGGAGCCCATTTGAAAAATTTATAGAATATAGTTTTCAAAAATTTCTTGCAATAGAAACATGATTCAGGTACAATAAATACCTATAGTTGTATCACATTTGGATGCTATGTAAAAACAGCCAGCACGTTGGCTGAAGTTGTGCATTTACTGGAGATAAGGTGGTAGTAAAAGGCAATCGACAGATATTTAAGGGCCTAAAGCCGTCACTCAATCACTTAGGGGGTAACGTTCATAAAATTAGCCATGAAAATGAAATTTATAATAGAGACCTCTAAAATCATCAATTATATAATCATGTTAACTGCTCTTGTCCGAAAAGTAGTTATGACATTATTTTCTTTCTATCTGTCGATTGCCTGTAATATCATTCTCTCGAATAATCAAATAATTAGATATAGATAATATAACAAATATAACAATGAATTATTTGCAGATTATGTAAAAGAAAAAAGATACTCTGGGAAGTCGGATAGAATTGGCAGGGGGCAGCACTAGATTTATTAATTTGCAGGGGAGAGGGGGTTGTCAAGTGCAAAGTTGCGGAGTAGACAATTGCAAATAAATAAATATGTTTAGCATTTCAATTATTTTGAAGGTGGACCCACTTTTTAAAATCTCACATGTTTCAAACTGGATGTGAAAATTTTGATTTTGAGGTAAAGGCAATCTAGGGCAACATCATTGTGAAACAATTAAAGTTAGGAGTAATATACTTTCGACTGAACTAAGCTTTAAGATGAGCTTTAAGATGAGTATATTCTCAATCAAAATGATTTTGTCAATAATTTTACTTGCGAATTTTTGAACACAAAATAAATCAAACCAATCATGGGTATTTGAAAATATAGAAGCCCGTACGAGTACAATCATGCAATGTTTCTCTACCAAAAAAAGAGACAAGGTGGGAATTCTATTCGACAACCCAGAGTTTGATCATACCTCTTTGATGTGATTTGTTCTATGATTTGTTGTGAGCTATGATAAGAAAATATACCAGTTAGTGAGAACATTAGTTGAAGATATCTTGCAAAATGAAAAGAATCGAAAAAGAAGAAAAATTTGAGAAAATCTATAAAATCAAATAAAAATCGATATAAAAGGATATAAAATTGAATCTTCACCTGCCCTTAGCAGCAGCATTTTAAGGAAAGTGGTCTCACTGATCATCAATATCTCGTAAGATGGTGGTGTCCCAATGGAACACCACTGTCAACTAATGGCTCCAGATCCCGCTTATAAGCAAAGAAAATTCAATGCTCATATGAATATACACTTTATTGGCCTAGAACCCAATGATGCACGTGTATAAGGCTTAGTGGTAGCCATCAAATGAGGGACTACCGGTTGGGCTCAGGAGAACAGTTGTTCTAAATCTTGTTAGTAGGCCGTCGGGATCGTGGTAAAACAAGAATTATGAGTGAGCCATAGTTGAAAATCATGATCATTGTTGTTCTCTTCGGAGTCCACGTGCATAAATCTTCTTTATTCACGTGGGGGTTCAGCTCCCAAGACTTGTTCAATGTTGAACATATTGGTTGTGGGAACCAGATCCTCATGTGGCTCTGCCTTTAGTAATGCTGTGAAATGAGCATGACTGAATAAGATAGTCAACGGCGTGCGCCCGTCATAGGCATCCCTTAACGGAGGATAAAGCCAATGTTGCATCGTTCCGTGAGAATGTATGTTGAAATGGTCAACTAATTCTTCGAAACTCGCATCGTCAAAGTGATATATTTGTGTGCCTCTCATCAGAAAAGACTGGTAATAATATATGGGCCGGTTGAGCAAGTCGGCGAGGGCAAGCAGTGCAAAATCACCACAATACTCATGCAGCCCTTTGATTTCGTTCACATATTCCTGGTATGTGCGTTCAAAGCCGAATTGATGTTGCAGCTGTCTGAAATGTTGCTCATTCTTGTAAACGTGTACAACGTTATCTGTCTCATGAACTTCGCAATGTCAATTGTTTCGCGATGAGGGAACAGCTGCTTCCAGATGGAATAAAACAGGCAGCTTCCATCACCGACTGTCTTCACTGCTCGCAAGTACCCTTGAAGCACAGGGTGGAGTAGTACTTGTTGCTGGTAGTCAATCGGTCTGTAAGGGAGATCAATATACATTAGTACATCAATGCCACGCAGTATATCAATGATTGCATCAAACTGAGCACTGTATTGTAAATACGTGTCTACTGATGCATGTAAAGGAAAGTTTATAGCATTCCAAAGAGCTTGAAGGTTGTGGTGGTCGCCAAATATCTCAGATATTTGCCGCTCCCTTGTACCCTCATTGCCTTTTTTGGACTTCTTCGTCTTAGATGGTGGTCTGCTTGAAGTAGACTGCTCCGCCGGCTCCTTCTGACCTGCATTACAGGTTTTCGGTTTTTTAGGTGGCACTGGCGGATGTCTGTCCATCTTTTTCCAAGGCCTCTTGGAATTCTTTTTGTCTTTAGGAGATTCAGGGGGTCGCATAGGGTATTCTGGCTCAACTGAACTGTCGCCATCCCGATCAACCCGTATTTCATCCTTTCGCTTCATCCATTCGAGCAGGTCTCTGTAGAATGGTTTGAGAAGCACTGCACCTGGATCGTAGTCGAGCAAGTGAAGGTTGTCTAGCGACTTGACTCTTGACAGAGCAACGTACGCCTGGCCGCTGGCAAAGAAGTTCTTGTTCAGCAATATGTATGCCTTCTCAAGCGTCATACCCTGAACTTTGTGAACGGTCAATGCCCATCCTAGAAGCAAGGGGAATTGAGTACGTACATACTGAACTGCGGATCCAGGGAATGAAAGACTCTGCTTCATCCTGGTCACCACAGTCTTCCTGCCAGTTTTGACATTTTCAATAGTAATATAGTTTTGTCGAATACTTACAACGTTGGCGATTGTACCATTCAACCAACCGTGTTCAACATCTATATTCTTGGTAAGAACAACTCTCGCACCTACCTTTAGAGCAAGGGTGTCCTCGAGTCGTTCTTTGTGATAAGAGCGTATCTTTTTTCTAACAGCTTCTGAAAGAGGATTGCCTGTTACATCTGAATCAGTAGCATCAAATGTAAAAGGTTCTGTATCAAGCTTGTCTAGAAAGATACTATTCCAATGGTTTCGCTCCCTTCTAAAGGAACAAATAATGGCTGCATTACTTAGATCAATAGCATCAATATCATCAATTGAAACAACTTTAGATCTAAGAATGTGATCAATCTCACTGTTTGTCTTACCAAGACGTATAGTGGATAGCATATGTTGAAACGTCTCATCATCTTGACGCTTTATATCCTTGAGCATCACAATACTGAATTTCCTCCACAAGAAAGAATCAAATATGTCACGCTCAATGGCTGGAAGTTGTGCAGGATCACCCATCAAAATGATGTGCTTTCCTCCAAATGGCATATGCTGTTGATTAATGGTCGGTGCCATATCTCTTAGAATCTTGTCGATCACCAAAAACGGCGTCAATTCTAAGAGAGAAAATTCATCAATGATTAGTACATTGGTGTTTGAGACAAGTTCATATTCAATTGTACCTGTCTCCAAACGGCTTTTTGCTTCAATGTTCATTTTAAAGAAGTGATGCACCGTTTCTCCTCCAATAAGGTAGGCTGCTGCACCTGTTGTTGCCAGCTTCCTAGCATTCAGATGAAGCACACTGGTAGCATGTTCCATTATACCCTTGAGAAGGTATGACTTGCCAGTACCAGCTTCTCCCACAATGGCAGTCAACAGTTGTTTACCTGTCGAGAGAAACTGTGTAATATAATCATAAGCAAGCCTCTGTGAAGGTGACAGAGTCTGCTCAAATTCTGGCAGGTCAATGCGATTGTCATTGACCCTAAGGTTACCTAGATCTGCATGATCTGGATTGAAGTCAGCATCAGTGACTTCTTCTTCATCTTCGACTGCATCGGCTCGATGGGCAGTTGTTACCTCATCAATGAACGTATTGAATTCGTCTTCACCGATCCAGTCCATGTCCCGTAAGGATTGTGCCATCTTGCGCAGACGAGCGAGTGAGAACCCTCTTTGCCTGGCATCCTGGAGAGCAGTCATGGCGTCGTCTTGCTCTTCAATCAGGTTACGAATGGCACACTCTTCCATGTACGTTTTTGACACGTTGTTTGGAGAAATGACAGGCGTTTCTTTCCGCAAAGGCAGATTCAACACCAGCTTCTGCATGTAGTAGTTCTCCTGGTTTTCACCATTTGGAAGGTAGAATCTCCAGCGGGCAACAGCTTCAACCTTGCGCTGTTTCCATCTTCTACCCATTCGGTCAACGAGGACTGCCGGACGTACGTCTGACGTGTCTTCCTCATCTGAGTTGTCATCATCCTGTTGTAAATTAGAACGACGACTATTATTAGATCTGTCTAATAAATATTTCTCAGCCCAGTCAACGTATAAAACGTTTTCGAGCTGTTGAGGGCGTTCCATGTACTTATCCAACAGATTAGAATAAAAAATATCATCACTGTCTGGATTGCAAGGAAGATCCTTCTTACGCTTGACAAAGCCGTATACAGGTTCAAGGTCTGTAGGAAGATAAATTACCTCCCTATTTGAAGAGCATAGAAAATGACCAAGGTTGTTGTGGTCAACTTCCAATCGACCTACCACCCTGGTTCGTATATACTTCTCTGTGTCAGAGGCATCCTTTGATACTTCCAGCTGAAAGGAAGGCTCGCTTTTAGCAACATACTTGGCCAGGTACATTTCCCAGCCTGATGCTGTAACTTTCTGGATGTTCATGTGTGCTCCCCACAGGTAGAGTATTTCTTGATTGTAGGGAACAACCAAAATGTCTTCATGGCATCTGCGTCGAGGTAGAAATCTGTTGCCAGCATTGTTCAACCTCTCCTCCTCCTGAACTGGGTATGGAAAACCATACTTACATTTCCTGAGGGGCTTGCCATGAGAACTGGTGAAACACTTGTCCTTGCGACATCTGTGTACCTGTAGACGTCGAACAAAAGACTTTAGTGAATTTACAGTAGGGTTTAGTTCGCTACCCCTTGGAATTTCAGCACAAACCACATGGTCAGGGATTGTTTTTTCGTCGCACCACACAACCATATGGTTGTGAATGGCACCCCTACCTTGGAACTCCTTACGATCCCACCAGTCGATGACTTTTCCTAGTGGGCCATTAGAGTTGTTGATAACCTTCTCCTTGAACAACTTAAGCCTATTGCTGTATGCAGTCACAGTTTCAACTGAATACTCCCTGCTTGGATGGATATCCCGCAGTTCGTACTCACTGTCAACGTCAATCATAGGCTGTACATGACCTGGACCATTTATGATATGGTTCTGTATTTCAGGCCAGTTGTCGTTTTGTGTCAAAGTCACAAAGAAGGTCGGTTGTCCAAGTTTTCTGCTCAAAGCAAGCAGGTCCAACGTTTTACTGTTCCAGTAACTTCTTGAACCAGTTATTGTCGCTGGAACAATTTGTCCAAGTTTGTCATAGAACGTTGACTCGTGTAGCTGTAAGCTAGTAAGTGCGTCTACTCTGTCGACACGCTTGGCCTTTCGAGCTTTTGCAATGTAGAAAAGCTTCATCTTGATCTGCCTGTCATACCAGTGAAAGGAGAAGCTTGGGTCCTTCCGCCATCTGGCATCTTTGTTCAGAAGCACATGCTTGAGGTATTCTCCAGCTTTCATGCAAGTATCCTGCGACCAGCCCCCAATTCCGAAAGGAAACAGGTGTGGCCACAGTTTTGCCTCCAACTTTGGATCTGAGTAGTTGACCCTAGTAAGCTGCTTCAGTTCGTGCAGACTTTTGTTCATTTGAGCGGCAATTGGATGCTGTATTCCTGCTTGATCAGCTCCTTCGTTCAAGAAATTGGGAATTCCGCAGTCATCCAAGTTTGTAACAATACCGCTAGATTCGTCGTGCATATGACTGTCCACTGTTTTGTTGAAATTTGCAGCAAAGTCTGTAGCCTTGTGCAAGTGTAGTACCTTGTCAGGGTCAAAACGATACAATGTGTCATAATTAGCATAAAATGACTGAAACAGTGGATTATTGTTACGTAACCATACTAAAGCACGTTTAATACGCAACTGCACTTCATTGGCAATTACGTTTGTTTCACTTACAGATTCATCACGCTTAACCATGAATCCATACATACCGTAGTAGTGGGAGTCATATTTCGATCTGGTTATAACGTCACCTTGGAAGTGCTCCCAGACCTTAAACCTATCACTACGTGGCTTCACTATCTTTGATATGATACCGGCTAACGATATCTGGCCCTTTTCATAGGGAGATACCAAGTCCCTAAGAGGTTCAGGGACATACAGCTTACCTGTACCTGGGTCTGCAGCGTTGTATAACTCGATAGGCCCACTCTTGCAGGTTCTACAAGATGTCCACCTTCCCCGGTTATTCTGATAGGCTAGCTCACCTATTGTATCATAAAGATCAAGTACGGGAGGTGTTTCATAGCCTATGCCAAGTGGGTCAAAGGTGACATAATTGACATGATTTCGATGTTTCGAGTATGGTATCAGGCGACCACAGTTGTAACATATGTACTTAAAGATTGGCTGACTTGCCAGTTCCGAAGAGGCTTGGCGCATTCCTTTCAGCCTCCCAGTACAATCTGGAACATTGCAGAATTGCGGTCCATCACTGTCGCCTAAATCAGGTGGATGAGAGGAAACCTTCTTAGGTTTCATTGGCGATTTGCAAATTCTAGATATGGTTCGCAGTGCAATGGAGGAAGAGGGGTATAACTGAAGCCAAATTTTTCTAGCTTCCTGAAATAGATACCTCTTTGACTTTCCCTTACCTTTTTCCCTTTCTTTTACTAATTTATAGGAATTAGTAAGGTCCAACTTCATACTAGCAGATAGTTTAGTACTACCTTTATTGCTATGCCTGAAAGGGTGAGGGTTTGATATCTTTGCCCTTGCTCGAAGCTTTTGCTTAACTTGCTCAGGTTCTGTTACCTCAGTCTCAACAACTGGGATGGACAATTTATTATCCATGACCTTTTCCTGTTCCTCCTGCTTAGTTTCAATGGGCTTATCATTATTTGCAGCGGTTTCAGTTGCTGTTGGTACCTTGCCTTCTGCCCCCCTAGTTAACTTGCTCAGCTTGATTTTCAAGGCATTCACAGTAACCTTAGAATTTGGAAATAATTCTTGCCAGTGTTCAAGGACAATGTTCATTAATGCACGCCCATCACCTTTTTCTTTCTTAGCTAAGGCGGTTTTCCTAACACTAAGCAGTGTTTCGGTCATGTCATTCGTCCACGTAATTTTAGGTTTTCCCATAGCTTAAGAGGGTTTCAAAGGGGGTTAATAAACTCCTGAAACAAAAGAGATAAATATTACTGATCGATCTAAGTAAAATTTTTATAAAAGAATTTCAATATATATGAGACATATTGATTGGGTCAAAACATATATCCAGAATTAAATTAAAAAAAACAGCATGAACACCCCCCTTTCAGTGATGTCAATAGAGATGAGTTTTGTTTTGGCTGCTCACGGAGAAACTTCAATGTTCTTTGCACCAATTAGTGTACAATATAAATCATAAGGAATGAACAATGTCACTTGAAATAAAACTTGGAAACCTCAGTTCACATGAGCTACAAATTTAAAACGTTAACAATTGCACATTTAAATGCAGAAAATAGAATAAACAATATAAATAGAGATACCAATTTGAAATCTCTCAAATTGGTAAAATGATAGGAACAAACCTCTACCAGTGAACTCACAAGCAACAAAACCTACAATACAAATAATGGCTTGATCAGTGTCTGTCTTATTGAAAGAATCTACAATTTCATATGAACAAAGAATGTTAAGAGCAGTATGCATTTTCAAACACTTCATATAAATGCCAGATCAATTTAAGTACAAACGTGTTTCCAGTTTAACACTATTAAACAGTATCATTTTAAAAAGCAAGGTCAATTGATGCATATATCATTACAGTTATTAAAAAAATATTGTACACCTTTTATCCATGGTCACAAAATAATAAAGTTAATATAAATAATTAAACATATCTTTTACATTTCCTTTCCTATAAATCTTTTATAGGAAGAGCAGAGAAAGGGAAAGCAAAAAAACCCTAATTTTTTGAAATTCAAAAACCCCAAAAGCTTTAAAGAGGATAAAGTATTAAGATATCATGAATTTCAAAATAGGAAGGCAGTCAAAATGGTCTTTACTAGTCACAAATTATCCAGTCAGTTTGCAAAAACATAGAAAGACAGACTTTTATTCACAAAATTTATCCAGCACTGTGCAATATGATTTTAACCTCAAAGAATTGAAATGAAAATAAAAGGCTGCACCATATATTGAGAAGGTGTTCTACTCATACTGGTTCATAAAATTTGAAAAATTATGATGGCATCAAGAATCAAGCATATGTAACACTTCACTACACAGATCACCTTCCATAAGAATTATGTGCCAAGCTGTTTGATTGTTACAACTCATGTTGACCAGAAATATATATTTATAACACTTCATGAACATTTTAGACAGCCTAAGCACATACATGCTTCCAATACAACACTTACATGCATTTCAAAAGGGTAAATTGGGGGGAAATATGACCATATCATTTCAAATACACACCTTGGAACATGTAATGTATGATCAATTACTTAATAATATGAATCAACTACTGAAGTTTTAGAATAATGTAGAATTTGGGTTGTCTATTTATCCTGTATTTCGATAGACAGAAAGCAGCAAAAACAATCAATTTGATGGCAGGTATTGGGTAGTAGCTTGAATCTTCCAGCATTTGGGATTCAAATGGACTGCACTAACTCATTCTGAAAACCTCCTGGAGGATATTCTGTGTAAACAGTAAATTGAAAGGCTCAGCAAGACATTGAAATATTTTTAAATATCAACTCACCAACTGTGTAATAAAAAGAAAGCCAGATAACCAAAAGTTGGACCAAATCCAATAAGAACAAAAACCTATAAAGTAATGACAAGCATAAGACAAGGGTATATAAAAAATAAATTCATTACATAAATAAAAGCATAACAGATGTCATGTTCTCCACTATTTGCATTTAACAACAGAATTACAAATCTTTCAAAAATAATTACAGACTGGCCTCGAATAAATATTCTATTCACCATGAGCAAATGATACCCTCTCAATTAGGCCAAGTATCCTCTCAATTAAATAAATTATTTCAAATACAAAATTTATTGTCTACTAATCACCCTTTGCTAAAAATTATTCTGTAATAAGGCTAAAATTCCATTTAAGAAAGACAATTATCAAAATATATATCAATGTTGATTGCTTATGTACTTTCATATAAGTAATGTGGAGTCATAATTCAAAATTCAAAAGATTTGAATCCATCCTATTCCTATTCATATCCCTGACTAAATTGAGACACAAAACAAAACAAATATTGTGAAATTAAAATGTAACAAACATTAATGTAGAGGTGTTGCAAGTAAATATAGTTTAGACTGTGAGAATAGTTCATGATAAAAGAAACACTGAGAAAAAGCTGAACAGTTCTAAAGTGAAAACTCACCAAATTAGTAGAACAAATGAACAAATGACACAAAAGGCAATCCAATTGAGAATGCACAACTATAGAAACAATGGAAGATTATAAGAAAAAATGTATGTAGCAAAAGCAAATCATTACTAAAATTGAAAAAGTCAGCTTATGGCATTAAAGGGCATCAACAATTCTCTAATAAGTATTGGACTTGCAGGAACTTACAACAATAATTATGGTACTGATATTAACAAAACTTATTCAACACAGTTTAACTATAAAGACATATTTAAACAATCTTTTGGTGGTACAAAACTTGTAAATGGCTTTGAAAAAAGCAAACATTTAGTAAACTTAAGCTTTTCGTCTGACACTCTTCAGAGTTTAAAACGTCAGAACATAAATCAAAAATTCTACGCTAAGAAATATATATACCCAGTTGTGGATCGAAATAGGCCAATCAGAAACACGAGCACATGACTGTAAAGGTTGACCAATCAGTGCCGCTTGTCTATTAGAATGTTACCAATGGAGTCCTAAGGTGAAAACGAACTCTTTTTGTCTACACAGAGGCGGTTTTTTCGTGCTTATGTAGATAGATTCCAAAACTGCTAGGTAGAACGACGATCGGGCTTTACCAATAATCCGAAACATGTCGCCATTATAGTTTTTTGCACAATCTGGGTTTTCTAGCAAATGCTGCCCGATAGCAGAATCGCAGGTTTTATTGGTAATTTTGGGTTTGCAAGACCGAGGTGGCTGTTCTCTTTGGGGATGTGTTTTGTTTCTAATATTAGATGGAACGTGTTGTTTTATCCTATCCTCCAATCTTTGGGTGGTGCGTCCTACATATTTCAAACTCCTACATTTTTCCATTTCCTGCTAGATATTTCCATCATCCTTCAAACATACTACAATAAACTGCCTATGTATGTACAAATAATATATATGATTAGATAATTAATTCTTTCCAATGAAAGAACGATCATACTACAGGTAATCCTATTCATTCTCCCCATCTAACTAAGAAGCAATCACTGGAATATTCAGGCATAGCAACTGCAAACAGTATATATATATAACAAGGGAGTGATCATTTAATATATCCATATGATAACATTGTGTTGTCAGAGGCAAAGATGAAATGAGGCAATCAGTGAAACATGAAAGAATTATAAAATGAAAACTTACCAAATAAACAGAAAAAAATGAACCAATATGAGTTAAAGTAGGGAAATTGAAATGGAAACCTATAGAAAAATGAAAAAGTATGAGACAAATATATCTATCAATAACAAATGACTACTTTAATTAAATATTTAAACTTAGAGGACATCAACAATTCACTTATCAACATTAGATTTTCAGCAACTTACAATAATGAATGTCATGGTAATTTCCAATACTTATATTCAACATGGTTTGAAATTGAAAGAATTGAAAATGATTATTACATATATACAGCTTATGCCGAAAGCTGCTGTGCATTTCCATTATCTTCATATATCAATGATGGAATTTGTCAAGATAGGAGAAACATATTCTTAATGTAGCAATAGTATGATGCAAATCAACCATGCCAAATGTTATGACTTTGAAGGAACTAATGAAATACTCTGCAATTGACTCCTTATCCATGAAATATTCAAACAACTGATAGCAATTGTTAATTAGTATTTCAAAAGAATGTAAGATATATATCCTTTTTATATCCATGCCCATAATTCAAAAAAGAAAAAACTAAACACATTTTTTCAAATTAAAATGCCAGCCACTAGAATATACAGCTGTAGCAAGTTCAAATGTACTGTGAGAGTAGTCAATAAATCTCTCCATATGGTAACAATGTGTTGTCAAAGACAGTGATGAAATGAGCAAACAGTAAAACATGGAAGAATTATTAAATGAAAACTTACCATATGAACAGAACAAAACGAACCAATATAAGTCAAATTAAGGAAATTGAAATGGAAACCTATAGAAAAAGAACGAGTATGAGAGAAATGTATGCATCAATTAGTAAATTACAGGTAACCTAAATTAAAGAATTACAGTTAGAGGACATCAATCATTTACTTGTCAACATTATATTTCAAGCAACCTTACACTATTAAATATATAATATCATGATAACTTCCAATAACTAAAATTCAACATGGTTTGAATTTGGAAGAATTGAAAATGATGATTCTATCTGTACAGTTTATGTTGAAAGGTGGTAAACATTCCAATTATCTGCATATTTCAATGATGGAATTTGTCAAGTAGTAGAAACATATTCCTAATGTAGCAACACTATCATGCAAATCAGCCATGCCAATGTTATGACTTTAAAAGAACTAATTTAATATATAGCAGTTGACTCCTTATGTATAAAATGTTCAAACACTGGTAGCAATTGATAATAAATATTTCAAGAGAATGTAACATATTATCTTCCTATTCATGCCCATCATTAAAAAAAACAAAACTGAACACATTTTGTCAAATTAAAATGCCAGCCACAAGAATATACAGCTCTAGCAAGTTCAAATGTACTGTGAGAGTAGTCAATAAATCTCTCCATATGATAACAATGTGTTGTGAAACAGTAAAACATGAAAGAATTATTAAATGAAAACTTACCAAATAAACAGAAGAAAACCAACCAATATAAGTCAAATTAAGGAAATTGAAATGGAAACCTATAGAAAAAGAACGAGTATGAGAGAAATGTATGTATCAATAAGTAAATTACAGGTAACCTTAATTAAAGAATTACAGTTAGAGGACATCAATCATTCACTTGTCAACATTATATTTCAATCAACCTTACACTATTAAATATATAATATCATGATAACTTCTAATAACTAAAAATCAACATGGTTTGAAATTGGAAGAATTGAAAATGATGATTCTATCTGTATAGTTTATGTTGAAAGGTGGTCCTAATGTAGCAACACTATGATGCAAATCAGCAATGCCAAATGTTATGACTTTACAAGAGCTAATTTAGTATTCTGCAGTTGACTCCTTATGTATGAAATGTTCAAACACCGGTAGCAATTGATAATAAATATTTGAAAAGAAACAATATATCCTTTTTCTATTCATGCCGCTTATTAAAAAAACAGAACACATTTTGTAAAATTAAATACCAGTGACTAGAATATACAGCTGTAGCAAGTTCAAATAGTTTATATACTGGGAGACTAGTCAAAAAACATCTCCATACAATAACATTGTTTTGTTAAAGGTTATGATGAAATGAGCTAATCAGTGTAACATTAAAGAATTATAAAATTGAAACTCACCAAATAAATAGAACAAAATTAACCAATAATAGTTTAAAGAAATATAAACTAGAATGAAAACCTATGGAAACAATGAAAGAGTATGAGATACATGTATGCAGCAATAACAAATCAATAATTAAAGAATTATGAAAAGGATTGACTAATGAGGGCACAAACTATTTTCTGATCAACTTTAGAATTGCAGCAATTTACAACTAAAATTTATACAAATATGAACAATTCACAATCAGGGCAGTCTCAATCTCAAAGAATTGAAAATGGCATTCCATATTTTAACCTTATGTCAACCAGGGCAATATGGTATAATTCATAATGATGTTGATAAAAATAACATGAAAATATGAATTTATGTTTACGTTCAGCAAGGTATAGAAGTTCTGAGTTTGCATTTATGTTTTAGGAATGAGCAGAATAAAATAATTTAATCATTATACAATGCCAATAGCAATCATAATTACAATTTCAGATATAAAGACATTAGCTTAAAGAGTTTCATTAAAGTAGTAATACACAATATTAACTCCTTCGTTCCAATTGCATAGCAAAGTGAATTCTACAGTTTAGTTCAATATGGTTGAGTGAAAGTGAGAATTTACAAATAGTGTAGCAGACAACTTACTAAAAATTATTTAATTGAAAAATGTGTTTGCCAAGGACACTCAAATATCTGCAGAAACAATGAGACGCGTCTAAGGAACTGGGGTGAAAATGAAGGAAAAATTATCCCGTCATCATTACAATGACATTATCTTTTGTTTAGAATGCTGCATAAAACTGTGTGCAAAGTGAACAGCCGCCGAATTATTGTTTTCAAGAAAAGCTGTCACAAATAATTCAAACAAAGGAGCAAATTTTGCAGCTGTAATCTCATGAATAAAACCGACAAAAATTTATAATTTTAGAAAGGACGAATCTTTTTAATGTCATGTTCTACAATTCGGCAATGCGAATAGTATTAGGGGATACTAGCGACAGAAAGTAAATAAGTCTCCGCTAGAAAATACACAAAGTACACAAAGTAAATAAATTTCCATAAGCGCAGAGGAAGACTTTCTTCTCATATTCCATATTCAAGCAATAAAAATAATGCTTTCTTATAGTAAGAACAATTAAATTATTAGTGATACAAACATACCTTCCGACTTCTTCTCTTTTCTCCTCAAAACAATTTCAAAAGCGAAATGGCGTCAGCAAAGACCGAAACCGCGGGCCGCTGACAGGGAGACCAGAATTTGAAAAAAAGAAACCATTTCGCACGAGATGAATCTCAATGGAATTAAATGATTTACAATCCAATTATCAGCGATACCATTAAACAACTGTAGCTATATTAATCAATCCATAAAAGTCCAGTCCGATTGATAAATGTCCTCAATAAGGTCCACATACAAGTATACAGAAAATCCACAGTTAAAGGAGTCCAATTTTCCTAGTAAATAGTTAAGGCGTCGAACTCAATGCCCAAATAATCCAACCATGAGGTCTTGAAAAACCCAAACGATTTCCAAACGATCCAAGTCTGAGAAACAAAGTAATTCTTGTGACAAACCAAATGCAATTAGATTAATAATGATCGCATAAGCAATAAGCATCCATCTCCCGATTTTATCACAGCCTGTGCACGACCAACTCAACTTCATCAACGGCCGCATCGAATTTCACATGCGAATTCGAACTCCAAAAGTACCTGCTGTCTGGATGGGATATTTGATCTTTATGTAAACAATCAATCAGAACAAAAGAGACCATCATTCGTTGCTTGACAATTTTGAAGATAAAATATAAACAAAGACCCTTAATCGCATCAATGGAAATGAATGCCCTGTCCATTGATGTAGTTATAGGTGAAAGCAATCGATGAAGTTTTGAAAAAGAATTCTGCATAATAAACTAATTTCTTTACGCTACAGAAGAGCCAATACCACCATTCGAATCGCTTCAATGAGATCTTTCAGTTGGTGTAATTCAATTTGATGTGCAACATATATTCAATAAAATAATCCTTCAAAAGACCTGGAAATTAAAAACTATGATCCCACTATGATATCACTGCCACGCCCAATCTAGAAAGTAATCACCCAAAAAAATTCCAATTGCAAAATCTTTGCAAATGAGCCATTGGCCCCTAACATACACTATACCGTTTGAGAGTAATGACAATAATGCTTTGAAATTGAAACACAAAATGAGTAGAGTAAAACCAAAACCGTTACCACCGGTCGACTCGCTTTGGTGACATCTTTTATTTGGTGTTATTCATTTTGATGTGCAACATGTATTGAACCAATTAATTTTAAAAAAATGCCTTGAAATTCAAGACTATGACGTCACTATCACATCACAGCCCACCCAATCTAAAAAATTCCCCTTGCTAAATTCTTGCAAATGAGCCATTGGCCCCTAACATACTTTATACCGTTTGAGAGTTATGACAATAATGCTTTGAAATTGAAACACAAAATGAGTAGAGTAAAACCAAAACCGTTACCACCGGTCGAATCGCTTTGGTGAGATCTTTCATTTGGTGTTTTTCATTTTGACGTTCAACATGTATTTAATTAGTTAATTTTCAAAAATTCCATGAAGTTGAAGACTATGACGCCACTATGACATCACAGCCACGCCCAATGAAGAAAGTAACCACCCAATAAGATGACCCTTGGCGATCCCTTCAAAATGAGTCTTTGGCCCCGGCCTTCATTCGCACAGTTTGAGAGTTATGGGAATAAAGCCTAGAAACTGCAACACTAAATGGAGGGCTGGGCCTCATAAACATGGCAGTAGCATGGTCCTTAACCTGTTGCACAAAGCTCATGAGCTACGGCAGTAGTGTGTTTTCACAATAAAACACAAATTAGTTGTGGAGCGGGAGGGGGAGGGGTGGCCAGCCTAGAAATACAGCAGCAATAATAATGTAAACCCCCTTGAAAACATCATTTCGTTAAGTAAAGCCACGTCTATGAATTCACAGCCACGTCTAATCTAAAAATTAACAAAAATCTAACCTTATAGATTCCCTTTTGTCGAGCCTCACAAAAAACCACTTGTCTCTAGCCTGCTTCGGATGTTTCCTTGCTTATAATTTTGATTTTCCTATAATAAGGTTCCTATAAATTTCAGTTCCTATAAATTACAATTTCAATTTTCATAATGTTTATAATAAAGGAAGAAATTCAAATTTTGCCAAACAGCCAAATTTATATGTTCTGAACTTTGCACAATCTCATCTGGTCAGAATACAGGTCTATAGAAGTTTAGACATCAGTATCAACAATAAATGCCACAAATTATATAATTAACTATCAACAGCCATGCCAGGTCTTTATGCATATGTAGATCAACAGAGAGAGAAGACATTCAGATTGATTTTTTTCTTTTTTTTAATTTAACAACAAACTAAAACCAAACAACACTCTAATATCAACACTCTAATATCAACAAAAACAACAACAACAACAACAACAACAGCAACAACAACAACTACAACTATTTATAATAAATATTAAAACTTTGGTGCTGGCCACTATAATTATGATAGTGGCCAGACCTGTGGCTGTCCCTACCCGACTCCCCCTTCTTCGCCTTTTCATTTTTTTTCTTCAATAATTTTACATATATCGTCATCCCTGGTCTGAAAAAGAAATTAAATAGAAATAAGGACAGAAACACTGAAAATAAATATTGAAAAGAGAAGCATCTGAAAAACTTTGCTTTTTTGATTTTCTAGTTCAATCAAAGACTCAACATCAGATTAGCTATGTCATAATAAGTGAGACTCGTCACACTAACAAGTGAAATAATAAACATCGAAAAACTACATATTGAGTTCAAGACTTAGTATTAGTAATTGATAACCCAATACTACAGATAGAGAAAGCAAGAAACGCCACTAGAGGAGTTTGGAAAGCATGTGCACTATTTGACATTTTTAAAGTTGAAAATGTAATAACAATTACCTTATTTTGTATAATTTTTTTTTATGCTCGTCGAGCATAATGAAGTTTGTACTCCTTTTGATATTAAAGGCACGGGCGACCCTGCTCTTTAGGGCCCCCAGTTTTTGTTCGTAGGGCAGCAACTACAAAACATACAATAAAGATATTAAATTTTATAATTCTAATCCGTCTTAAACCCATCATCAATTTAGAATAATAATATTTTATGCATTATTGATTGATTGCACCACATCGTAATGTTTCAAAGATGAGGTAGAAATAAACTAAATTACAACTAATTTTTACAATTACAGTGTCCGGTGTAAAATTAACTCAAGTAGTACATCCAGTTATACTAGCAGCAATGTTCATACTAGCTTTGCTGAGAAATTTATATTACTACCTGTGGCTTTATCAAATGAGCATTTTTACTAATCCGTATGAATTAATACAAAGCAATGAGAGCATACCTTTTCTCTTCCTCCTAGGCAGATTTTAAGCTCTTCTTTAAGCTCCTATAAGGTAAGCGAAAATATACACCAGAAAACTGTAATCAGATTTTGCTATATTTTGCCATTACTGAAACGTAACTTGACAATGAGCAAACAGTCAACCTTTTTTAAGCTGCCTATCATCACGAAGGGTAACGGTTGATAGGGTACAATTATTGTTGTCAAACTGACGAGATATCATCGAAAATCATAAAATTATTCTAAAAATCACTGCTTCTAAAAATTCATGTGAAATAATAGAAAGGAATGCGATGATACCTCCTTTTTCCCCGCCAGGGATTCTCCGTTTTCTACCTCCTGGAAGGTAAGGGAAAATTTATACCAAAAGACTATAAAAAATATTTTGAAAATATATAATTATTTCTGAGACGTAGAGAGTAACGGTTGATAGGGTACAATTATTGTTGTCAAACTGACTAAATATAAAAAAAACAGAAAACGATGCTTAAAATCACTGTTTTATTATTATTTATGCTAGGCAATTGAGAAAAGTGAAATAAAAATCATAGCAAAATGGCGCTTGATTGTGCCAATCTGTTGCTGGTATGGTAGGTTCTATATTACGCTAAATGAAGATATTAAAATGTGCAATTCTAATGCGTCTTAAACAAAATTCAAACCCAAATATCAATTTAGAATAACCATTTTGATATACTATCAATTGATTGCAACAAAGTTAAGTGTCCAAGCAATGGGATGGAAAAAGTGAAATTTAAGCAAAGTTGAGAAGTTGTGAGATTCACACTAGCATTGCTAAGGGAAACATGCCTCTCCGAGGATTAATTAAAAAAACAAAAATTTTCATAGTCAAGACTAAGGATATTATAAAACATGAGATCATACATCCATCTCCTCCACAACACTTCTGAAGCTTTGTTCTGTATCCATTTTCTGAAAGATAAATGACAATTTACACCACCAAACTTTAGAGAAGTTTATATACCCATTCCTTTAATTGACACGTAACTTAATGTAATGTGAAACATTTTGGCTGCCTATCATGGGAAGAAGATGAAACGGGGAAAATGTACATATTGTCAAGTTCAGTAGATATCAGAAGTTTTTTCAGGATGCCAAAAATCAATATTCTATTTAATAGCCATTGCTACTTTTAGGTGCCTAATTGCCGGCGGGTCAGAATAAACGGGAGGGGACGGATTTTATGTTCAAAATCAATTGACGAGGGGGGGGGGGGTTCCAATTACCGGAGGGGTCTAAATTATGAACTTACATTCACTGAACACTCAAATTGCACTTAAAATTAGTAAACTTATTTCACTATTATATAGCTATAATTTATCATCGACAATATTTAGCCTGTGTTACGCATAATTCACTCCAATAATTAACACAAAGTGCCAAAATCAATTGGACAAATTTTCAATAATTAATTAGCGGATGGGGGGACGGCAATTAGGCACCTAATAGTAGACAGTTATACTCTTTTTTCATAAGAATAATTTTCTAAGAGCACGAGCTTTAAAACCAGTAAAAAGTTAGAAACCAATTAAAAGAAATATGAAGAGGCTGAGCCAACCCCTTTATCTCTATAACGATAGACTCAGCTCAGAACAAAAAGTAAACGTACTCACCTAGCGTGTTCAAAGTCTCCTTTGGCGGGAATAATTTCCAATTTAGTTTTTAAAGCAGATAAATCACATGATCAATCCACGATAGAGCAGGGACATGAAAGAGAACCGCATATCTCATGGGAAATGGCAATATATTTTAGTGATACAAACAAATTACACTAACAATAAATTAAACAAATTTTGCAACAACTCGACATTTTAAAATTCACTATAGTTACAGTCATTGATAATCTGGATCTATTGACGAAAGAAATAACAGTACGGAGAAAAGAGCAATAATAGATCGATGGATGTTTATTAGGAAATCAGCCGTCTTTAAACGTATGTGATAAAGGGCTGCTCACAGGGAAACCACTAACTAATGCACAAACATAATCAATTTCCAACGAGATGAATCTCAGCGGAATTAAATGATTGACAGTACCGTTCACACAAATAGATACCATTAAACAACAATATATTTATCCATCCATTATTGTTCAGTATGATTAATGCCCTAATTATGTCTGCGTATAGCTGTAGAACACGTAGCAAATACACCACCTAGGCCAAACAGTATCGCGTTGACATTTCTGGATTGATCCTGAAATGAAAAGAAGCAAATCATAATATCATGATAAAGGAAAACAACAAAACGGGGTTCTCTATACATTAATAATGATCAGAAAAGAAGCAAATAATGATGTCATGATTAATGAAAACAACAAAACGGGGTTCTCTATCTTGCAAGAAATCGAGTGCCTAGTGTAGAAACAAAGACCCTCGATCGATCGAAAAAATGTTCTTTCAAATCAACAACTATATAACAAACTAAGAACCGATAAAGGTTGTAATCCCTGCACGCTACAGGAAAACCAATACAACCATTCGAATCGCTTCTACGAGATTTTTAGTTGATATAACTTGTGTTGATATTAAATTGGTTTATGTTTGAAAAATCCTTCAAAATAAAGACTATAATATCACAGCCACGCCCAATCTAGAAGATAATCACCCCAAAAAATTACAATTGCAAAACCTTTCAAAATGAGCGTTTGGACTCTAACATACTCAATAGTGTTTGAGAGTTATGACAATAAAGCTTGGAAATTGAAACACAGAATGAGGGGCCGGGCCTCTTTGACACTGCATTACAAAAAAGGAAACATCATAAAAACGTCAATTCCTAAAGTAAAACAAAAACCCATACCACCATTCGAATCGCTTTGACGAGAACTTTCATTTGGTGTTATTCATTTTGACGTTGAACATGTATTTAATTAGTTAATTTTCAAAAATTCCATGAAGTTGAAGACTATGACGTCACTATGACATCACAGCCACGCCCAATTTGAGAACAAACCACCCTAAAAGATGCCCCTTGCAAAAAGCTTCAAAATGAGCCTTTGGCCCCTAACATACTCCATATCGTTTTAGAGTTATGACAATGATGCCTAGAAACTGCAACACAAAATGGAGGGCCGGACCCTGCTACATAGACGTTACAGTACCAGAAATTAAAACACTCTAGAATCATCAATTGCTAAATTAAACCCCCATATAATAGTACCATTCG